TTTCCAAATAACTTTAAGTTTCGTAAAACAGACTTAAAGTTATTAAAATGATCAATAGAATCATATTGAAGCAGAAACTTGGCCATTATGTAAAATTTTTTCTTTTTTTAAAATGATTAGTATTTCAATAATGAAGATCGCAAAATAGTAGAGGACTTTTTTGTTCAGTTTGGTCCATATTACCTGCCCACAAGCGCTGTATTATTGAGTACGAGACATCCTGCTATATATGTATGTAGAAAAGAGGAAAGAGTAATAGGGAATGAAATATTGCGACTTTTGCGTTTAAATTTAACCATGACAGGTTGTCCCAGTTCCGTCGAGTCGACCTAGAAAATCAAGCTCTCCAAAAATTATTCCTCAATTTTATTCACGGCACGGCTTTATTTGCGACATTTCGCGAGACTCTCGCACGGACAAGCTTCTTTCATTAAAGGACACGCTTTCTGTCTTCCTCGGCGCTATTAAAAAGCCTTTGGAAATACCGCCGCGACGCGAAGCTGGGCTCGTTTGAAACCTCCCTTAAGTACCTCATATTATAAAGTCCTTTTGAAGAAAATGGCAATTACTAATATAAAAAATGTACAAAGAATTATCCCTCTCTCTCTCTCTCTCTTTCTCTCTCTGTTCCTAACAGAGCGGAAAACATGAAAGCGCCTAATATTTTGTACGATTTACGCTGTAGCTTGCATAAGATGTCTAATTGAAGCTTTTATAAACGTGAATTGAAACAGCGATGCTGACAGAATTTTAATTGAAACTTTTTGAGGATTTTTTCCCTGAGTCTTTTAATACCTATATCGAATATAGGAAGCGCAATCTCGAACTAATTGTGAGATTACATCGCGATAAATCATTTGCAGAGACCCAATAAATTATGACACAATCGGCGTGGCTATAATGACTTCTTGTAAAAAGAAAAACAAATAAGAAATACAGAATAAATTGCTTCTATTGATTTATCGAAGTAAGCTAAATCTTATTTTTCAAATAATAATAAAGACGTTAGATTTAATATACGATAATAATTCAATTATCAAAACATTTAAATTCGAACAAACAGAATATTCATGATAAATTTATTCCATGAAGCGTTAAATGTTTCGGCAAATTATATATGTGACTGGCTCTCAACGCTTATTTTTCGCGTGCGAAGTGTATACTGTTGCATAAACAATTGTGCAGTTGTCACTCGCAATCCGGTGAGGCTCGAGGCGGTAGGCAAACGGCGTGAGCCTTTGTGTTATTATCACACAAAACACTGTCGTTCCTTGTGAATAATTAGTATTTCACAATAATAGTGGTGCGCTGGATATCTCAGTGCAACAGTCGTTTGTCAGGCAGGAATTCGATTCCCGGAATTGTCGTTGCATTAGTGACGTGCGCATCGAAGTTTTTCGACGTCAAATCGAATCCAATTGAATTTCATTTTTTTTTGTTCGACTCCAAATCGAATCGATTAGACAAAATTTTATTCGAATCGATTGAATTTAATTAAATCGAATCAAATCATAAAGACATTTAATTTACAATTTCTAATTTACAACATAATTATTGTTAGATCATAAGTTTAATATATCGACAATAAAAAAATTCTATTTGCTTTACTTATTAGCGGGAAATATGATTTAATAAGATTGTTAATTTATATAATTTGTGTTTGAACTTCTTAGATTCGAAATTTTCGAATAGTTTGACGGTCTGAATTTGAATCATCCAGATTCAAATTCAAATCGAATTGAATCTTATTTGATTCAATTTGTATTAAAGTAGTTTGCATATTTTTATATTTCGCTTATATGCCGCCAGAAACTTTAAATAAGAAAATAATTTCATTGCGACAGAAAACGAAGTATTCAAACGTAGATTAATTTCAAAGTTAATTGGGTATAAACAAATCAGTACTTTGTCGTTCCTCGGAGAACGAAAAATTTTCAAACAATAACAACAGCAATAAATAAGCTTTAAAAATAAAAGATCCTTTAGAGTGGTGGTTGGGAAGGGAGCTTATAACCGCTTCCCATAAAAATTGCAACTATAATGAAACTAGGAAAAAGTCGTTCAATCCACATAGGACGGCTTTTCTCCGGAACACCAACGCTTGACTCGAGCTGCAGCGTCATAAAAAAAAGAGAGGGACAATAATAAGCTTGAATAATCAGCCCGCGCGAATAATTGACTCTGATTATAACGATTTATAAATTAGACAATGATTATTTAGATATCTCGATTTGTACATTCGAGACAGAAATCGAAGTAATGAGAATTGAGAATTAGAAATTATTGTTTTATAATATCTACTGACAATTAATTATGTTACGTCCAAGCCCCAAAAGAAATTTATTTCAAAGGAAATCAGGAGGACAATGGAGGGGACAAGGAAGGACGTTTCAAAGTCTATGTAGGCTATCGCTTTGACAATGAGGCGTATCTCACTAGTTAAATGCGTTTATCTCAGGTTTCAAAAAAAAAGGTCTGCGTCTAGCTATTGAACACAATGACACCGTTTCCGAAACAACGCGGTCGTGGTCCTTATTTAGGTCAGAGATTTAAATCTCTGTGACCAGAGAGTTGACCGTGTGCAATCTCTTAGGTACGAGGATATATGGCGAAGGTTATTTATAATGAAAAGAAAGAAACGTATTATGCTAACAAATCATTTATTTAGGAAAATTGTTTACTATTAAAATAGCTCTAAATTCAGTTATAATGATATATACTGAATTTAGAGCTATTTTAATAGTAAACAATTTTCTTAAAGAAATGATTTGTTAGCATAATACGTTTCTTTCTTTTCATTATAAATAACCCTCGCTATATATCCTCGTAT